GCCCTTTTTGCTCTTTCCCGCTCTTCTACCTTTATTTCCCTTCTTTGCCCCTTATTTCCCTTCTTCCCCCTTATTTTCTCTTCTTTCCACCCTTTATTTTCCTTCTTTCCCGCTTCTTTCCATTCTTTCCCCCTGTATTTTCCTTCCACCCTTTATTTCCCTCCTTTCCCCCTTATTTCCCTCCTCCCACCTTTATTTCCTTTTTTCCCTCCTTTATTTCCCTTACGCACTTTATTTCCCTTCTGCCCCCCTCTATTTCCCTTTTTCGCCTTTATTCCCCTTTTCCCCTCCTTTATTTCCCCTTTCTCCCTTTTATTCCGCTTCCCCCCCTTTTATTTCCCTTTTCCCTCCCTTTATTCCCCTACTTTCCCCCCTCTACTTTCCTTCTTCCCCCCCTTTTTTCCCTTCTTCCCCGGGCACATCCACAGGATACACCCAGCCCGGGGTGGGGTACAACACCCCCCAGCAACTAAAAAAACCCAACCCACAGCTCCAAACTCCAACATCCCCCCCAAGAAAGAGGGAGAAATCCAACCTGGAGCCACGCTCCTTCCTCCCCATCCTCCTCCTCCTCCTGGCTCCAGTCCAGCCTGCAGCAGTGCGGAGCCCCCTACCCCTGAGGAGACCCGGGGGGCTGCCCAGCCCCATCTCTCAGCCCCTGGGGCTGCTCTCTCCCCGCAGATTTTCTGCTTTTTCTTGCATTAAACCTCCTTTTCTCCCCTCCCCGGTGCCTCCCCCCCTCCCCAGTTTTTCCCCCTTTTTCTTGGATTTCTTGCCTATATTCGAGTACGTTAAAAATATCCGAACCCCCACGGGATGGGCCAAGCCTTGGGGGCTGTTTCTAATCGTCTTTTGATTTTATTTTAATTTTTTTAAGGGCTGGGTTTTATCTGACTTCCCCGCCTCAGCTGTGCGGGCTGGGATCTGCCTTGGAAAAAGCCCAAATCCCAGCCTGCTCCCAGCACCTTTCCCTGCTCCGTGGAGGAAATGTTTAAAGAGGAGTGATGGTTACGCGTCCCGCCGACGTGTTTTATCTCTCCAGCCTCGTCCTTCTATTAATATCACTAAAGCAGGACGTGAAAGGGGAATCAAAAAATAAAAAAGCGAAGCTGATGAGCTTTACATATAAACTCCCCGGGATAAATGATTACCCTCTCCCTCGCCAGCTCCGCACCCCCAGCTCTCACAAAGGGGTTTGAGGCCATGATTTGTTTAATGGCAGCTTAAATCGATGTTGGAGAGGGAGGGGGGGAAAAAAAAAGAAATAGATGGAATAAAACCTAAAGATGCTTGCAAAGCCTCCTCTCCCATAACTCTGTGGCCCAGGGCTTGAGGGGGGGCACTTGCAGCAGGCCTCCCTCTCCCAGCCCCCTGCCACTGGGAACCTCCAGCAGCAAACTTCCCAAAGCCAAGGCCTGAAAGGAAAAAAGGGGGGCTCAGCCCCAGCCCTCCCCCCTTGCACCCCTGCCCTGCCAGGGAAGAACAGACACCCTGCAAAGGGGGAGGAGAACCAGGTTTTTCCCCAAAATCCCCCACTGCTGCCAATTTGCAGGCTGCCTCCGTGGGCCAGGAGCGATGAATTACGGTTATTAGCACTGTTACTACCGTTATTCTCATGATTGTTATTGTTATTATTATTATTTAACAGCCTTTTCATTTCCTGGCAAAATTCAGTCTGACCTCTTGAACGAGTCAACGCGAGCGCATCACGACAGCAAGAGAAAATAATAATAATAATAGTAGTAATAATAGTAATAATAAAAAGAGTAGTAATAATAATAATAACAACAACAACAACAAATAAACACGAGAAAAAAGTTCAAAGCAGGGAGAGGAGCTAAACCCAGACAATTTTCTGCGGGATGGAACGAAAATCCAGAGGCACGGCTGGAAGCTAACCCCAACCCACAGCACTTGTCTGAAACCCCAGATTTCCCTTTTTCCCCCCCAGATTTACAGGTTGGGGGGGGGTGTCTGAGCTGTAAAAAGTCCCCGGCCACATCGTGGTGTCGTAAAAATCCGGAGCGGGGAGTTCTCTTTCGGTTTGCATAAAACTTCGCTTCCCGGTAACTGGCGCAGACGGGACCCATCGCACCCCGTCCCAGCACTTTATTCTCCTAATTATTCTTATTTTGGGGTGGGTTTGGGGGGAGATGTGGGGAGAAAAGAAGCCACCAGACATCAAAGTAAAACTAATTCACACTGACTGGTTTATTGAACACTGGGACTTTCACATACACACTAAAACTCTTTATTGCGAGTTTACAATGATCATGTAAAATCAGTCCAAAAACACAAATAACCACGACAAAAAAAAACCTAGCTACGGACTTTTTTAAACCTCCTTCTGCTTTGATTTTTTTAAATATGTCATTCTTTCTCTCTCTCTCTCTCTCTCCCCCCTGTTTCTTCTCCGCTCCTCAGCAAAGACTGGTCCACCCTCGTGTGCTGTTTCGTAGCTGCTTTTTGTTTGCCCTTTTTTTTCCCCCTCTCTAAATCGTGATTTTTTTTAGCTTTTATTTTCTTTTCTCCACATTTCTACAAAAGAACTTCACAGCTCATTCGCTTATTGTGCATGTGGAATGCAGAGGGGGGGATAAATACCCCCGTTCGCCTTTTTTCTGTCTGTTGGTTTGTTTTTTGCCGTCTGTATCGCCATCATTTCTCTTTTAAATGCACCCAGCAGAACATTTTCCTCTTCCTCCCCCCACCCTGCCCTCCCTCCCCC